ATTAGGCTGTCACCTCCTCCCGAATACTTCAGATTTAGAGATACATTTACAATACCTTACTATTATGGAGGATTTGGCAGTATTCAGTACATACTCTCTTGGAAGATTAAATAGAATTATCTCATACCTGAACCCAACACTAAGACCATGAAGTTCCACTGGAAAGGGAATATGAAGCAATAGTCTTCCTACATGCAGATGCTCCCAAGCCCAGATTTGTAACAAATGAATGCATCAAGCTATGTTGGCCCTACTAGGCCGTGTTGCTTCTCCCAACTCTCTATACAAATGAGCTAAAATTACTCCTCCAAGAGAGTATGTACTGAATACTGCCAAATCCTCCATACTAGTAAGGTATTATAAATATATCTCTGAACCTGAAGTATCCGGGAGGAGGTGACAGCCTAATATGAACAATATGTAAGCCCGAACATGCCTCCAAAAATCCATATCGTTCAGGTCCAAATAGGAGTCACGCCAAAATGTCCATCGCAACCATCTGAGGGGAATACAAGTTTGTGCATATGCCTGTCCCATACGAAACCTTGATGTGATGCGATGATCGAATGGGTCCCGGTATACAACATCTGCTAGTGGATGGCTCCCAAGAAGGTCATCACAGCAGTCTGGCCAACTAAGCCAACGTCTCCCAGCTCCAACAACAGCATGCCATACCAAAGCAGAACCATCTATATGGACACCCAAAATCATAGCAACATCCTGCAAAGTAATGGTCATCTCGCCAAAGGTCAGGTGAAAACTATTTTTCTGTGGTGACCACCTCTCCACTAAGGCTGTTAACAAATGGTGGTCCATCCGCAAATATCTCATTTGGCTAACACAATCTAGCCCAACCATTCTTAAAGCATCCATAAATCTTGGGCAATTCACCGACCATTCGTGCACCATTAGAAGATGTGATGCTGCTTCCAATATTGTTCCCTACAAAGACATATAATTAGTAAGAGTTAGCTTAAATATTTAGTATAATCATAATAAGTTCAATAAATTTTGGATGTACCCCATCAGGATGTGCTGCTCTATGTGTACCATATAACAAAATAATGTTAGGATGAACCTGAGTTGGAGGTGGTGCATCACTACTACCCTCTCCTGAGGGCTCACCGGTCGTACGTTTCTTTCTACGACGTCGTTGGTCAGTTGCTATTTCACCTGAAAATATAACAATAATTAAGAATACACATTAAAAATCAATAAAACTATTAAGTGATCAATATAAAAAACAAATTTTATACGAATCAAATATGTAGTATGTTTCTTAATTTGTAGTTGGTCTTCGTGTAGCAGGGAGAAACATAATCAAAATGTGTTCGTCTTAACAATGCTAAACAACAGACCACATGTGAACAAGGTAAGTGATATAGTAAAGGTTTTCCACAACTGCAGTTGCACCTCCTCCCATCTAGTATGTCAACACGATATGATCTAGAGGACATGTCAACAACTTGAAATTCATGCAAGTTAAGACGGATTGGTTCTGGCATTCGTCTAGCCTCCTCCTCAACTCTTTTTAGTGAAGTCTGTATACGTGGAGGAAAGAAGTTATTGTTTTGTTGCTCCTCAGTTGTAATGAACTCCAACCGCCTCATAAACATTGAAATAATGTTATAGTAGATGGCCGTAATCAATGCTTGAATTGGCAATCCTCGTGCTCGCTTCAAAACTCCATTAAAAGACTCAGCTGCATTAGTTGTCATCACCCCATATCTAAATCCACCATCATTTGTTAAAGACCAACGGCTCATATCTCGGTCCACGAGCCATTGGTTAATATCTACTTTGATCCACTTCATATCTTTCATACATCTATTAAAAAAGCCTTTATCATCTATATTGCCTGCTGCGTACATTTTTTGGCACAAAAAATCTACGTCACCTAACCCCATCTATCGTATTGCTTTCTTGAAATTCTCACGTAGATGTCTTAAGCAATGCCGATGAACAACATTAGAAAAGATTTCCCTACAACCTCTAACCAAACCAACATGCATGTCTGATATGATATAGAGATTGTGCCTGTTCGTAACTACGGGGAGAAGCCCATTCACTTGTCTCAGAAATCATATCCATGATTCGTTACACTCTGACTCAACTATAACAATTGCAAGTGGATATAGACCATTATTAGCATCCATTCCGATCGCAGTTAATAATGTCCCCCGATATTTACCAAGTAGGAATGTGCCATCAAGACAAAGAACTGACCGACAATAATTCCACCTAGTAATAGAAGGACCAAATGCCCAGAATAGTCTTTGAAACTTATTTGTCTGTGTGCTTTGAATTCTATATGCCGTTCCAGGCATTATAGAGGCAACAACATCCATGAACAAATTAAGAGTATGATAAGACTCCTCTCAACTGCCAAAAACAACTTTAATTGCCTTCCTCCGAGCATCCCAAGCCTTCATGTATGACACTTTAATATTGAACTTCGATTCCATACGGCCAATTATCTCCCTTGGCTTCAAGTCCATCTGCTTTCTAATTGTGGGTAGAATATAGAAACTTATAAACTGTGAGTTGCATTGACGGTGGCCACTTTCAAGAATTGGAGACACACATGTATGCTGGTTCTTTATAGATGAGATTTTCCATATACCGCCTAAGCGTTTACTCTGAGCAGAATGAAGTCTCCATAAGCAAGGATATACCGGGCAATCATGCTTTGCACAAACAATTATAAATTTCTTTGTATTCGATGCAATCACAATATATTGCACATTATTTTTAATTGCCCAGCCTTGTAACATCAACATAAATGATTAGAAATTCTGTTTCAGCCTGACATAATAAAACTTCACAAGCATCGTCATCTTCAACATGTGAAGCGACAAACTCATTTCCCACAGGCACTCGACAGACTAAGTTCACAGAAAACTTTGTAGGATCATACTTAAGTGCTCTGAGTATCCTTAACTTAAGTTGCTCTAAGTTTATATTTCTTGACACATGTAAGGGACGATTCCTACCCACAGAATAACTTGGTGCAAATTTATCATCAACTTGTAACTCGCCTCCATACAGGAGCATGAAGGTTGCACCACGTCCACTTATTATTCAACTCGTACGTACCACTAAAAAAGATGAACAAATAAAATATTCTTAATATACGGTTAAATTTAGAAAATGCTAAGTTGCAACTTCAAATTAAGTAGACAATAGTTATCACAGCAAGCACAATATCAAATTAAAATATTAAACAAAATTGATAAAAATTTATTAACATTCTCTAGCTGAATTGAGTAAGCATTTTTTTTTTAACATTCAATTCTAAGCTTGAAAATTATCTCTTGAATTAATCAACCGCACTAAAATTATAGAATTACAACATAAAAAAAGCATACAATAACTATATGATTTGAAAATATTGTAAATAGAACAAAAAGTAACCTAGGATTGTACAAGAGAGTTGATTCATGTGAACTTGAATGTATATGATCTCTTATGTCAAACCATCATAAAGAATTTATTAATGTTTCATGGAAACAGTGCATTACTAAATTTAATTAGATTTGATTAAAATTTATATTATATATACTTAACTTGTCTTTTCTGTCGTGACTTTAAACATTAGAAATATAGCTTAATATATTATATATAATTTTCGCATAGATAAATATATATATATATTCTAGAAAATAAGTAATTTTCTCACATTAAGATAAATAAATTTTAAAAACTTTTATAGAATTCAATGAAACTTTTGTACTATTTTAGATCTATAAAGAAAAATTATCTCTCGATTAAATTTCCGGTAGAACAAGTAGATGAGTAAAATGACAAGTTCTCGATTCATGATAAATTTTATATTTGATAATATCTTTCTCAGTGTCTTTTTGCGTCATTGATAATTTCTACATCATTAAAAATAAAATATTGGATATATTTACCGCACAAATTGACACTAAATCATAGATCTATATGTATTTTACTCCTAAATCACAGATCTACATAATTTCTACATCATTCGCAGCCTAAATGCAGAAATCTTAACTTATCGCAAACAAATCTTCAAATATATTCCACAAACAAAGAGATTTACAAAAAAATCTAGAGAAATAGTTTGTAATGCATAAATCTTTATTTCACTAAGCAAAATACACAATATTCAACATACATTGAACTGACTTAACATAAAATGCATAAAAAATAGCCATACCTTTACTTAACCGGCGACGAACAGCCGCAGGCGAGCGAGCAGCGAAAAAAAGAAAGGGCGAAATGGGAGAGGAATGGATCGGGAAAGGGAAAGTAGATTATTTAATTAAGCCTAAGTCGCCCGATTAATGGGCGACTTATAAGTCGCCCGTTTAACGGGCGACTTACCTTATCTCCTTTGACTGCCACATCATCTGCCACGTCGTCATGTGGATTACACCTAAGTCGCCTATCAGACGAGCAACTTTGCCTATTTTTAAATGCTTTTGGCACCATGCTTAATCTTATAGTTAAATTATTTATTATGCTTAGTTCGAAAATTTAACAGTAAACAACCAAAACTAATTGGTAAATTAAATGTAGGAAAACCACACCTAACAAACCATACAGATGGTCTAAACCCTCAGATTTTGTCAAACATGAAACAAATTTGCATGGTATGACAAATATAAAATAAACATATTTATATTTAGGGAGATTTATATAGTATCCTAAATTATTATTTATATACACATCTAATACCTAATTTTGTATATTTACTTCTATAACACCTTAATCTCTAAATGATATAAAAATATCACTAATATTAACTTATCTAAAATGAAATACATCTTTTCAAGCATTTATTTTGATGTCATTTAGACACAAGGGTGCTATATAAGTAACTATAAAGTTTCAAGCATGAGATATGTAAATACACAAGAAATTAGTGGCCTGTATGTAAATCCTCCTTATATTTGATAATGTTGTCACTACAACTATTAACAAAATTAAGTAGTAAAGATACAAAAGAACAATTTTTCCCAAATTAACAAAACCTGAAGCAAGGTAAGCTGAGCCAAGAGAGTTGTTGCCTCTGTCTGAAGTGTCTGCACCTTCCGCTCAAGTTCGCTTGTGTGGCGTACCTTTCTCTCTTTTGATCGAGCAGCAGACTGCCTGTTCGCGAGAATTCTACAAAACAAAAGCATAGAAATTGAAAAACTATAGAAACTAAAGTGTACATGAATCAAATTACTGCAGAAAAGAAAACGATACTCAAAATCAACCTGGAAGCATTTATCAGAGAAATGAACGCCAACAGAGTTTCATATTTAACCCTCTCCTAATTAGCTAAAAAAAGACCTGAAATCCCACCCAAAGCACAGAAAGTCGGATTGTCCGGGAAGCTAGCAAAACCCTGACGCGATAATCAGAATGTAGAATACATAATTCATTTAAATGGAAAACATCATACCTTTTGGCTCTCTTTGGATCGATCAGAGCCAGCTTTGCGAGCTTATCCGCCGCTTTCGAATAATCCGTAGACGGCATCATCGACTCCTCTTCAAAAGAAGACGTCGCCCCGTCTGTTGAGCCGCTATGCTGATGCTGCGGCTTCTTCTCCGGTACCGAACCACTGATGGCACCAAGCCCTTCGAAACACAACCCATCGAAAAACGCCGTGTCCAACGATAGACTCCTCAAGTGAGCTCCACCACCGGAAGGTCTCGCCACCGGTTGCACCACCAACGACTTTGGCATGCCACTAGAATCAGCCGGAATGGCAGCGGCGGCGGCGGATCTGCTGCCGGAGATGTCCTCTGAGACAGAGGGGAAGTCGAAATCAGGAAAATTAAAGTCATGGTCAGAATCGAAGAGGAACTCGTCGGGGAGGCGGAAGAAGCTCTCCGATTGGGCCCTCCGGTGGCCGGAGCTTCGAGGGTTCGGCGGAATCCGGCCGCCAGCGAAGCGCTGGTTCTTCTGTAGCGTTTCGGGCGGCCGGTTCGAGTCCATGTCCGCTCTTAAGAGCCCTCCGAGACTCAATTGTTGCGACTACTGAGCCATTTCAAGCTAGAGAGATAATGATAAAGATCAACATATAAATATATATATATATATGAAAAAAATTATTTTTCACAGTCCTTTATAAACAATGGTCTTAAAGAAAAAAAAGTCTTTAAAAAGTATCCCATCTCAGCTCGGTTGTTTTGTAATCCTTTATAAATGTGTGGTAATAACCTCATTTTGTTTGCAGTTGGGTGATCCTTTCCCTCATCCCAGCTCGGTTCGTTTGCAGCCTAGAGATCATTGAGTGACTCCATTTGAACATTAGAGACATGATGAAGGGAGTACCACTAATTTCATTAGGCTATCTCATCAAAGTAAAGCTCGAGCCAACAAAGATGATCAATAACCTCCTTCTTATGCTTGATACCTCCAAGCTCGATGACAAGCTTAACTTTGTAGGTACATAGGCACCCATCAAGTTGTTATTAATGGAAACGATTAATGGGGAGGTCTTCCAGGATTCACAGTGTCATTTAACATATTTGTTGAATCCTCTACTAACTTTTCTTCTATGCACACTTTTGATATCCCTTTAGCTTATAATTATATATTCTTCTCTCATTTGATATCCCTAGAGAAGCGGATGAGTTAATGACATAATTTGATGGATTTTATGGAGGACCAGGAGGTGCTGAAACTTAGTGTAACTGTTATTCTAAAAATTTATAAGTATAAAGTTTAAAATGAGGGGGAAGTATAGTGCTTGAACTTTAATCCTAATTAGGATTAGACATTTGACATAATACTATTCGGATCAAAGACTTCAAATGAAGTAGTTACCCAAATAAACCTGCCAAGCGAGTCAAATCCAATGGCTCCATGCAAGATTGATTATAACATATTACCTGCTAGCTCTAATAGCCTTTAACACATCACCTTGAATGATGATGATTTCTAGCTTTGACACCTACTAGTTATCTCTAACTAAAGCTCAATAACTTGAATTGGAACAATATGTTTGAGCCAATTGATTATTCTAGTTCACATCTTCTCTATCAATATCTTTCTTTTGTTGAATGAAATCTTCTTAAGCCACTCAAATTAGGAACTTTTCCTAGATCACCAACTCTCTTGATGAGTTATATATTCCTGCGTAGCATCTCTTATTTATGTCACATCTCTAATGTGTTCAATTGGCTTCCTACACAACATTGTTAATCACTTGCGAATTGGTGTAATCTAGAGTCAATGATGCTAATGAATGTTAAACCAACTTGAACTAAGTTAAATCACAAGTCGCTCATCAAGATTCATCCAAAGCAATTGAGCGGAAAGTCATTATTGTATATATTATCTTTACAATACTTGATCATCAGTAATATGATATGAAATTAGGCTAATAATGCTTAGGTGCCATAGTTATCTAGGGGTACACAATAAATATACGATTAGCAATACACACCTGAATACCTAACACATCCTCTCTAAGCATTGTTCAATCATATAACTCATATATATATATATATATATATATATATATATATATATGAGTTATATGATTGAACAATGCTTAGAGAGGATGTGTTAGGTATTCAGGTGTGTATTGCTAATCGTATATTTATTGTGTACCCCTAGATAACTATGGCACCTAAGCATTATTAGCCTAATTTCATATCATATTACTGATGATCAAGTATTGTAAAGATAATATATACAATAATGACTTTCCGCTCAATTGCTTTGGATGAATCTTGATGAGCGACTTGTGATTTAACTTAGTTCAAGTTGGTTTAACATTCATTAGCATCATTGATTCTAGATTACACCAATTCGCAAGTGATTAACAATGTTGTGTAGGAAGCCAATTGAACACATTAGAGATGTGACATAAATAAGAGATGCTACGCAGGAATATATAACTCATCAAGAGAGTTGGTGATCTAGGAAAAGTTCCTAATTTGAGTGGCTTAAGAAGATTTCATTCAACAAAAGAAAGATATTGATAGAGAAGATGTGAACTAGAATAATCAATTGGCTCAAACATATTGTTCCAATTCAAGTTATTGAGCTTTAGTTAGAGATAACTAGTAGGTGTCAAAGCTAGAAATCATCATCATTCAAGGTGATGTGTTAAAGGCTATTAGAGCTAGCAGGTAATATGTTATAATCAATCTTGCATGGAGCCATTGGATTTGACTCGCTTGGCAGGTTTATTTGGGTAACTACTTCATTTGAAGTCTTTGATCCGAATAGTATTATGTCAAATGTCTAATCCTAATTAGGATTAAAGTTCAAGCACTATACTTCCCCCTCATTTTAAACTTTATACTTATAAATTTTTAGAATAACAGTTACACTAAGTTTCAGCACCTCCTGGTCCTCCATAAAATCCATCAAATTATGTCATTAACTCATCCGCTTCTCTAGGGATATCAAATGAGAGAAGAATATATAATTATAAGCTAAAGGGATATCAAAAGTGTGCATAGAAGAAAAGTTAGTAGAGGATTCAACAAATATGTTAAATGACACTGTGAATCCTAGAAGACCTCCCCATTAATCGTTTCCATTAATAACAACTTGATGGGTGCCTATGTACCTACAAAGTTAAGCTTGTCATCGAGCTTGGAGGTATCAAGCATAAGAAGGAGGTTATTGATCATCTTTGTTGGCTCGAGCTTTACTTTGATGAGATAGCCTAATGAAATTAGTGGTACTCCCTTCATCATGTCTCTAATGTTCAAATGGAGTCACTCAATGATCTCTAGGCTGCAAACGAACCGAGCTGGGATGAGGGAAAGGATCACCCAACTGCAAACAAAATGAGGTTATTACCACACATTTATAAAGGATTACAAAACAACCGAGCTGAGATGGGATACTTTTTAAAGACTTTTTTTTTTCTTTAAGACCATTGTTTATAAAGGACTGCAAAACCTCATAAAGCATTTCCATCTCATGAACAAAGGTAATAACCTATAAAAAAATCCATGGTGTTAAGGCCATAGATCATTAGCTTATATTATCTCCCAACTTGCATCACTACTTTTTAAATCCATTTATGTTTCAAAATATTATCCCATAAATGTTGACCTCATTTTTGTATAAGATCACTTTGACCCCTTCCTGGACTCTAGACCCTAGGATTTCCTAGACCCTAAGTTCCTTCTAAGCTCTAGATCTTAGGATCCTTCTAGTTCCTAGACCTTAGTATCGATTTAGATCTTAGCTCAATCCAGATCAAAATCCAAGGCCAAGGGTTTAGATCTTAAAAGCCTTTTTCAAATACTTCAAAACCTAGTCAACTGCCCCCTAATTCAGAATCTATGAATTATACATTGATAGGACATATCTTTGGGGTCAGCCTTCCAAGTTTGAGCTCAATCTGATATTTTTAAGCCCATATACTAAACTCAGTTCCAAAGGTTCCAAAACCTTCAAATATTTATGACCCATGCCACTAGACCAGTCACCTAGTAGATATTGACCTTAGAGCTTTCTCCAAAGATTCTAATCACTGCCAAACCCTTAATCCTAATTTTTTTAAGCTTCAATTGTATTTTGGTGGACTCAATTTGACCCCCAGTTGACTAGGGGTCAAAATGATCAAAATGCCCTTTAAGAGTTTGAATACCTATTTCAAACCAAATGACCTTCAAATTACTTAGAATCACTTCCAAAAAATTTAAAATTTCAAACCAAACCTATTGAGCTCAAATTCAGATCCTTGGTCAATCTAGTTGACCAAGTCAACTTAGGTTGGCCTAATACTCCCTTAAGGGCCCAAATGGGTATTTTCAACCCATTTGATCAAATTGATTTCTTCAAACCCTCAAACCTATCCCAAAGCATAATTCAAATTACTCAAACCCATCATGAGTCAGATTAAAACTACTTTGATCAAGTCAATCCATGAAAAACTTAGTCAAAGTCATTTAAGCTTTCCTTTAATTCATGAAGACTTTGTCAAACTTCAACCCATAACCTTAAGTCATCTCAAACTCATTCAAATAGCTCTCAAGACAAGACACTCTCTATACCACCTCACCATCCCATGTGGTGTGATGCCCCAGATATCAATAGTGAAAGGATTCGTCTGACATTCTGATCGAACTCCATTTCAGTTGCCTTGCTCGGACCTGAAAATTTTAACCACATATAATGAGCTTTACAAAGCCCAGCAGGTCACCTAATACCTATAACTGAAATCAAAGCACGGCTATGCTATCAATATGCATGTCAGTCAATCAAATCCATATCAGTCAATGGTCAATGAGTCTATGCAATACGGAAATCCATAGTCAATAAAACCAGTCAATACAGCGGCAGGCGAATCGATAAATCAACTCAATAAATCCATGTCAATCTCGAAGAAATCCGTACACAATAGAAAATCAATCAATCCGTCAAATCAATCGCTATCAAATCAAATCAATGTGGTCTAATCAATAATATCTATTCAATGAAATCAAACGAGGAAAGCAGTACGATAAATCTCAATCTATTCTAACAGTGAGTCCATGCAGGAGTCAATACGGTGCAGAAACAATAACAACAGTGAATCTATATGCAAGATCAATAAATCCATAGGCAATAGTAACAATGAATCTATACTATTCATGTCCATGCTATCAATGCAATATCTATATCCATCCATTTCTATATCAATGCTCAATGTCAATGCACAGCAATCAATCAGTGAAATCAATGAAATCGTACGATCTAGTAAATCCAATCAAAGTCGATAAAGCAGGAATATATAAAACAATGAATCCATAAATCAATACAGTAAACATGCAATTCAATACTATATACTGGACAAGTACAATCAACTGGCTATGTTGCTGTTGTAGATATCCATACACATTGGTTCTATCAATAAGAGTCGTCACTCTTTTCGCCCGTCGGCATTTCTATAAACTCCTTATGACTCCCAATCGTTATATCAATGATCAATGGTTTAAAGGAAAGCCCGTCGGCCCACCATCCTGTACAGGTCAATTCTGTCTCCAACGCAAAGTTCAACATAGTTCCCACTTGTCTTTCAGTATCAATCATTCATCAATCAAGTCAATGCAAT